TTCGTTTATCGGTCCCTTGGTGCTTCGTGAGTTCTCTTCCGATTGGCAAGCCAACTAACTGCCAGGCCGGGTTCTTGCTTCTTTACCGAGTTCGGCCTTCTTTTTACGTCAGAATCGCCATCATCTCGTAATCTCAATTCGCAAAGAAGGTCAGCCCCGAATCGGAAATCGCGATCCTGAGTCGCAGAGGGCGATGCAACCGAGCGTAGCAGCGAGGAACCGAACATACCTCCCACGGATATTCAAACATACTTATTTGTTACCCTCCCGAACAGGGTGGAGATAAGGTGATGGCGATTCCAACGAGCGGCAGTCATGAGTGCTTCAGATTGCCAAACTTGAACCTCATCAAGGCGCCCTAGGGCGGGCGTCTTCCGAATGTCGGTGCGCCGTAATCCAGTTGCGTCGGCAATTGGCTGAAGCCTCGACCAATAAAATGCATTAGAATTTCCGGAGATATTGAATGTCAATTACATACGCTGTCAGGAGCCCCGCACATGCGAAGTCGTGGGTGTTCGGTGTTCAAAAAGAATCATTCCAGGGCAGGAGATCGCTTGATGAGATCGCGAGACAAGGCCGGAGGCATTTCTGGGGAATTGAAGATATCGATATGCGAGCGGGAGGCGAAAAACACATGCGACGAGGATGCGGCTAATCGGATAGGATAGAATAGGTAGGAATCGGACTGGCGACGTATAGGGCGACGTCAGGAATGGCGACTGCGCAGGATCAATGCGCACGGGATCATGCAAATGTCAAGGCACGCGGGGTTTTGAAATATGTACCTCCCAATCAGCAAGCAGCAAGATAAAATCTGAGCCCTGATAGACAGTAATGCAGGTACTCTCCAAGGTGACATCCAGATGTTGTCCAGATGCCCGAAAAGCAAGGGAAACGAATCGATGGCCCGAGGCTGACCGCGAACACGCAGGGCAGTGATCCGGAGACGTTTATAGCAGCAGCGCACAAGGCGAGCGATGGTAGGATGTTGAGTAGATGGACAGGCGCTCAGTGAGTCAGACAGGTGCGTCTCTCGGGCACCTGAGAGTCGAAGCTTGTTCGAAGCCGCAGTACTACCAGTAGCGTTGCAACCCGGTTGCAACCACTGCCCAACGATAGCAATATGCCCTGGCCCAAATAGCAGTTGCTGTCCGAGTCTGCCAGTCCTGCGCGAGATCGCCGAAGGGTTTTGAGATCTGGATGAGCGAGCGGGCAGTACACCAAAAGCGCAGATGTGATGCCCAGAGTTCACCAACGCGGCAACGAGCGGGCGGCGAACGACGCCGTCACTGGTCGGTAAGCATGTATTTGTTTTAATTTCCTTGATGTCGGGCGCACCCGAGAATATCGGGGGAACTCCGCATGGGAGAGGCGGGCAAGCGGACACTGGCGGGGGGGGGTACAGGCCAGGGTTAGGGGGCAAAGTACTGAATCCAAACTCGTCACAACATGACATCATCGAGAATCCGCACCAACTGCGCGACTGCGCGATTGCATCCTAGACTCGACCACCATGTCTCTCGAAACTCTCCCCGTTGAAGTCATTCTCGATAACCTCCTAATGGCCATGCCCATTCAGAGTCTCGTCCGACTCGGCTGCACCAACAAAGTAGGCAAATCATCGTCATAATTCACGTCGCGCTTATTTTGCCAGTTCTTCACTGATGTCTGTGCCGACGAGTTACTATGGCAGCGCAGGCTTCAGACCGACTTCAATTTCTCCGGGGCTGCCACCGCCCGTGTCAGCGGATGGAAGTTTATTTATAGAGGATTATTCAACCCCAAGGGTGAGGCTGGACGACGTAGTTGGTGCAACTTTCTCTTATTTTCATCCTAGTGTTTGTCTGGGGGTAAGTTCTGTCAGGGTGGTTGCTTGAGACATCCTTACCTTGATTCAGTGAGAAAACTCAGGGGAGACTCGGTCTGGGCTCCAAAGTTCCTAAATCATCCAATGTCAGTCGCGGGGTACCATTTCCCACCCAACTTAGGATTCCTGGAGTCCGCATCGTGAGCATCGTTGCCGGCGGAATGTATGTTGGCCCATTCCCGCTTCCAAGGCATCTGGCTCATATCGCAAGCCCAGGTCATTCCACGCACTTGATTCAGAGGGCAGCATCTACGTTTGGGGTGCGTATAGCACATCGAGGGGTTCCTTCCCCATTTAGAACGTGTTTCCAGGAACCCTGAACGGATTGACTTCAACCTTGAGCAGCGATGGCTTTTCAGAGGCAGGGAAAACCGCGCCTCAGCCGTTGCGCCTCGACCTACCCTCCCGTATCAAGCAAATTAGGCAAGCGGTCTTTACGTATGCAATCCCTAGTGTTTAACCCGATTTAGCTGCGGGAGACTCCATTCATCTGCTCTGGATTCCAAGGGCCAAGTCTGGACGTTCACTAGTTGGGGTCGACCGTTCACACTTAGCTCTCGTCATCTCCTCCGGGACTCTAGACCAATTCAGGTCGAGTGCGGGTGGAATTTCTCCTCCGTTCTCACAAAGTCCGGTGAAGTTTTCGTGTGGTTTCCGCGGTCCGGGCGTATGCAAGAGCAAATTGACGCCAAGAATGCGTCGATGGACGAAGAACGCCAGTCTTTCGCCAGGGCATTGCCCGACGGAGTAATTCCTTGTGCTACTTGGGATCTCGAGGCCGACCCTCACAGGTTGCCTCCCCTTCCTTCTCTCCCACAATTACCTGAGACTGGTGATGTAATTACGGGGGAACCCAGCATCATCAAGATAGCTGCATTAGACGGGCACCTCGTCGCTTTGACAAACCAAGGTCATGTCGTGTTGTTTCGTGGTCTTGAAACCGAGGATGCACTTTCCAGCGGAAGATGGCACTACGCAAGTATTTCGGCGTCTTGATTTTTCTCAGCTGACACAGAATACGTCTAGCTTCCCAACTTCAGCGAGCTTGAACGAGTGAGAGCCTTGCCGCCCTTTACGCCAGCCGAGGGGGCATCCGAGGTTGAGCCCCCCCAGACGATGAAGATCACTCATGTGAGCCAATTCAATGAGTTGTTAGTACACCGCTGATATCACGGGTGCAGATATCAGCACACTTTCAAAAGTTCTTTGCATACTCTACCGGCTCGAGCTCCGTGGTGCTTATGGGCGATACGGACACAGCGGAGGACACAAATCCCCATATTGACCCTGCACTTCAACACAAATCTGTCATATCAGTGCTTGTAGGCGACTGGCATAACGCCGCTCTGACATCGTCTGGCAAGCTATTGACATGGGGCGGCTATTCGGCCGGAGCATTGGGGCTCGGAGACCCCACCGTTCTGCCTCCCGGTACTCCGGGTGCCTTCGCCACTGAGCGTCAGCGGTTAGATGCCCTTGAACGTGGCGTAGGGGCGCCGCCCAACGCGGAGGTGCCAACAGAGGTCCGCTTTGATCATGCGCGGAAGACGCCGAAAGAAAGATTTTGTTTCTCGGCCTGCGCTTCGGGCTGGCAGACAGGTGAGATTCAATAATAAGCGTGGTACATCTAAACTCAATTGGAGCGCAGGCGCTTTGGTATTGGATCTACAGGTCGGTTTTGACAATTGTATACTGTGGAGCACAGACTGACTTGATCTCTAGCCGGATGCTGAAGACGAAGAATCTGGAGAGGAGGAGCTCGTGGAGGAAGCACCGCGACGACGCATCGGACCTATTCGTGGTGGGCACGGTCTACCCATTCACACTCCTCATGTGGCTGGCGGGTTTAATCCGATGGGAAGTATTTTCCGCGTAGGATTTGCTGGCCGAGGCGCCACCCGGGGGCGGGGAATGTAATGCCCGCTGACTATTATAGCGGTGACTGTATGTGTATTTGTATGGAGCACTCAATGGATGTAAGGTCGGAATCTCGCGCGCTCGGATGTGGCGGACAATTGAGGGACTCGCTTACTTCCTCCTTTAAGCCTTTGCACACCGTTTTATGACAGATTTTGTCTGATTTTATCCGTTGGATCTCCGGCGATCCAGATCGACGCTCGACCCCTCCCCACGCGGACCCAAGCGATGTCGGGTTCGGAGATCCAAGATTTCTGTGTAGGAATTGGAGAAACTGTCATTCTTCGGGCTGAGCCGTTCGCCTTTTTTTTCTGCTTGGAAATAAGGAACATGCTTAATGAACGCCGTTCTGGCCGAGTATCTCTCATTTATATCCTCTCAGCGGTCAGGTCCGAAGTGGCAAAATAGTACGTACATTCGAGGTTTCTTCCACGATCTCAGTCTCGGCTATCGTTGATTAGTATACCTGTATGCGTGTAAACATTTCAATCAAGTCCAATCCGAGTTCCGGTGTCTTGTGTAGTTCAATTGCTCTGCAGATTTCCGTAGCTAGAGGATTCACATTGCATAGACGACTCCGGAGGTTGCCCGACCATCGGAACGCCGCTATGTTAGAGTTACAAACCTTCACAGTTTCTAGAAAAACGCCAAGAGTCAAAACGTCAATACCAGTGTTCCCGCCTGGTCCAACAGGGTGGAGGAACAATTCTTAAGGAAGAGAGCATGAAGAAACGTTTCGGCAGAAAATGTTGATTTCAGTGTCCCGTCTCCCACGCCGCCAAAGAAAAGAAAGTTCAACATGTCAGCAAAAGGTTCCTGCATCAGAATGGTTTCATCCGCCCTGGCTAGCCACAAGGTGAAGCTGCTAAGTAGTAGGAAACGTAGCAATACGCATTGAGTCTAAATATACAACCGTCCATTGAATGATGAGGGGAGCTGAAGCCTGATGCCAGAGCCGTCCCAAAACGCGTCATTGCTCGAATAGTTATGCCTGGGAGAAAAAGAGGCGTCGCGGAGTCGGATGCAATGTAAGGAGGGTTCGTCGAAGTTCGAACCAGTCTGTTTGCCCGTGTATTTATTCGATTGATGGGGAACGGCGATCAACCTTCATGTCGCTTCTTCGCATGCTGCACCTGCCGTAAATTCTCCAAAATAATTAGACACTGAGAACAGGACGTTCTGAACGTTTTGAGTGTGGTTTAAAAAGGAATCAAAAGGGCCTAACTGGGAATTGAACCCAGGACCTCTGTCTCGACGTCAGGTGATTACCAATTTGGCCCGCAACCCTAACAAGGAATCATACTACTAGACCATCAGGCCGATGATAGTTTCCGAAATCTAATATATTTGATACACGTCCAACAGTTCTCTTCCAAACGCAACCTTCTCGAGAATAATTTTTGCTTTCGATATACAGTTGAAGCTGTCTTAACCCATACTATGGACACAAAAAGGTATGGGGTATGGCAGAGTTATAGGTTATCCCAGCCAAAAATTGGAGAAAATCCTCTCAAAAAGTATGGGGTTTCACAGATTATGGGTTATCTCAGCTATGGGTTATGACAGCTTCGACTGTACTATGTATCCCCCCCCCCCCCCCCCCTCCCACCGGTCTGGACTTACCTACTTCTTGGACAAACAAGGAGTCATTACTGGACCAATTTCCGAGATTTTTGTCTTCATGCATTCCTTAAGATATACCTATGCGATGGGTGTAAACATGCCAGGACGTGTTCGGACTATGTCTCTACCATATAATTATGTTCATGCAAAATTTCAGGCCTGTAGGTGCCCTACAGCTCTCGCAATAGCTGAAAATGTCAGTTTTCCCTGCCAAAATAGCCAATTTTAATAGGTTAAGCGCACCCCCGGCACTTCGCCTCGGAGGTTCTGTCGTAGCATCACATCTCTCCGCGTTCAACTGAGTGTTCATATATTATATCGCCTTGGTGAATGAGCCTGAATCATAGCGGTAGCAGTCGGAATCACCCGAGCGGAGTTTGAAGGCTTCGGACAACACAATTTTATAAAGAGAGAGATGCACCCCTGACAAAAATGGTGTCTATGGGCATTTTCCAGGAAAGTCCTGGGTTTCTGGTATGTAGGAATTAGATAGGATGCAAATGGGCCTCCGTGTGGAATTTTGGGGGGGATACAGTGAACCATATGCTGCTCCAGATTATTATTATTTTCATCGCAGGGATGATATTCAATGGCCTTTTCCAGTATTCGATGTGTTTGCCGTTGAAGGAGGAGCACATATCACGAGGGGCATTGAGACCGTGAGGTAAAGAAATGCACAAAATGATGATATCAATGATTCTGGATCATCTTCGCACGGTCTGCTTCGGGCGACGAGTACACGCTTTGACCGGCTTGCTAATTATGGCAGTCACCCGTTCACCGTTCAATGTTCAACGTTCGAGATCCACCTCAGAGCCAAACATCGGATGTATGAATTTTGACGCGAGTTCCGTCGTGGGGACGCTGACACAAGAAATGATACGCATGTCGTGGACGTGGGCCAGGAGCAGCGGACCTCGAGGGCCATGAGGCTCTTGAAGAAGTGAACCTTGGCCAACTTTTCGGTGTGGTGTTTTTATTGAAACCCACTCTCTGATCCAAGTTGCGCAGGATCCGCGCGACCGATTCGGGATGTATGAGTATAGCGTACCGATAAATAAAGGGCGTGCTACGTCTCTACTACAACTCGCACTAACCTTAATTTATTGGATTTTGTACGCAGTACATACAATTCAATGTTCTCAGTCTGCATTAACCGGGGGCAATACCTGCCGTTTTCCTTCCAGAGGCCACACTTCCACCATTGTAGTGGCGTCCCAGAATCTCCCTCCCCGCGCAACGAGTAAGATGTCCCGCGTCTGCGATATGTCTCCTTCAAGAAGGTTGACTCCCGGCGGATAGACGATCAAGTCTGCCAATTTGCCTTGCGACAGAGAGCCAAGAGACGGGAAAAGCCCCAAAGTAATTGCTGCAGACGACGTCGCTGCTTGAAGAGTCTACAAGATGCATCTTTTCAGCTGCAAGTCCTAGGTCATACGGTAAACAAACCTCGTAATTGGTTAGCCCGCCTTGTTGCGTGAACTTCATCTCGGCGTGGTAGTTGACGCCGTACGGATTTTCGCCGTGGGCACCGATGTGAACTTTAAGGCCCTTGTGAACCATTTTGGCCGCCGACGCCGACGTATTGAACAGTTGGTATGCTTCGCAGCTACAATCAGCTAGCCGTTACATTCAAAGGATATCCGGACTTACAATGCTTCGGGCGAGCCGTCGACTCGGCCAGGACATTCAAGTTGGCATGCGGGACGAGAGAGCGTAATCTGGGACGCAACAGTCAGAACCAGACACTGAAAATGGAAGAGTGGAACCGCACTTGGGGTCATTGGGAACATCTTCCGTTGCCCAGACCAGTTGCTCTCCCCAGGCGCCGCCGTAGTTGACGATATGCGTCGGCGTATACCCAGTGCCGCTCAAGGCGAACAGAGTACGCACGTCCTCGAACAACGTCGGGACAGGCATCGCGTGCTCAAGGGTGGTCATTCCTAATGGAGGAGACTTTAATATGTAAGCACTCCGCCCCGATAGATGTATCGTACCGTCGATAATATACGTCAAGTCCCAGTCAAAGTTCATCCCGCCCTCTGGCACGCAAAGCATAGTGAGGTTCCTAGCCGCGTTCAGCAGCCGCTGCCGAGATGCGCTGTGTTTCATGAGTTCACTATGCACAACACCTGAGTTGTAGAACCACCCACCGAACCGGCAGATTATAGTTCTTATACGAAATGCTTCCCATCCCGCCCTCGACTCTCAGCCGCAAAAGGGCAGAATACGCCTCGTCGTCATCCACGATATCCTGATGCAATGATGGTGCTGCGGCGCCGTAAATCGGCTCCCCAGTGGAAAATATACGGGACCCCACCATCTGGCCGCTCTCCACCCGACTTCGTTCGACAAAACCATCAACGGTGCTAGAGCTCGGACTGCGGAAACTCGTTAACTTTATACGACAGAATGAGTGCTGAAAATATACTTGTGCAACGTAGTAACTCCGTACGCCAGGAAGGCCTGCAGCTCCCAGGACTTGGCGGGGTATATCTCTGCAAATCCATTCCAGTGTGCGTGGACGTCAATAAATCCTGGAACGACGAATCCTAAATTATGTAATCAGCGTTAGCAGGTCCAGATTGCACAGACTACCTACCGCCGTGTGCGTCGAAAGCAGACACACCAGACGGGACCAAGGTGCCCAGCGCACCCACGCTTTCGATGACACCGCCGCGGATCGTGAGCACACCTTCGTGGATGAGATCTTTTTCGGGATCGCCGGTCTCCATCGTAAGGATCGTCGCGTTGAAGATCACAAACACATCCTCCGCGTTCACCGCCGCAGCATCACGTTTGAGGCGGGAAATGTCCGTCGAGTGTTCGACGACAACCTCTTGGTACTCGAGGAGGTTCTTGACGCACGAAATCCCGAAATGCGTCGCATCGTCCTTGATCGTCGACTTGCACTTTCTTAGCTTCGATACCTCCAGCGAGTGCAGGTAGGGACCTGTCAGGGCCGTCAGCGGCACGGAATTTGACCAATAAATGAGTTTACCCAAGAACCAAAACAGCTGCTTCCCATCTGTACTCCATGTAACGTCGTGGCCGCCATCCAGACTTAGACGTGCAAGTCCAGCCGTTGCATTGCCAGGCTTTGACCACACCGCTTCACCGTCTTTGAGGTTATCACCAGCTACAAAGTAAACATTGTACCCCTCCACGAACGCTACGCCCGCGGCCGCATACGTCTTCTGCGACTTGTATTTCATAGTATGGGGTGAACTAACTGCAAGCTCTGCAGACATCCGACCAGAGGCGACGGGGATATGCGGATACGTCCCCGCGACGCCAGACGGACCGGCGCTCAAGTCAATGATAAATGCGCGATTGGACTGTTGCACCAGCAGCTTCTTGTTCTTCTCTATGAATCGCATATTGACGCGGTCCCTGGCGATCTCCGACGGCACGAAGTGGATATTCGTGATTTCGACCTTGCCGCCGCCGCCCGGAAGCGTTAGGTCTCCGATATACAGTCCCTCTCCCGCCGTGGCCACAATCTCCCCAGTTATACTGTCACCACCCGTCTTAAGGAATGCGATCTGTCGCCGATCGCCGGAGCACTCGCAAACAACTGGCGAAAGGTAGCGCCCCAGGGGCAGCCCAGCGACCTCGTACGCCTTGCCCTCGGCGAGATCAGCCACCTCGAACGTCGAGAAATTGGTATCCGACCACCGCGTATGGATGACCAGATCATCAGCGTTGTGCACCCACGCGGGCGAGTAGTATGGCGCCTCGCTCTGCAGTACGGGTACGCGGGTCGCCGCGGATTTTCCGAGTTTTTGGACATACGTCACACCCGCCGCCTGGAACACGACACGCCGCCCCGTAGAGTCCGCGCGCATCTCCTTGAATGCCGTTACACGTTGGGTTTCGGCGGTCTCGGACCCGACAAGGTCGAAGGTACCTGTCACGGTCTCGGCGAGGCGTTTCTCGATGTGGGCCTTGAATCGGATGGGATTCACTGTGCGGGAAGGGTCCGCGACGCGTTCACCGAAAGAATTGGTGGTAATGGGTACTGAGTAGATCTGCCCAGCAGCCCAGATGATCACGGCGTCGCTGGAGGGCGTGAAAGCGAATGAGGGGTAGGTTCCCATCGGCGCAGAGATGACCCCAAGGTCATACGTGAGTCCATTCCAAATGTGGTGGATGGTACCGGTTTGCAGATCTCTGATAGTGAAAGTTAGCGCTGATGGAATGTATCGAGATGAATATATTTACTTGAACACGAGTAGCTCGTGATCGCGATCCCGGCGCACAAACGCTAAAGTACGCCCATCAGACGACAGCTCAGGACGACTCGCTCCTCCCGGAGACGCGTTGACTAGGGTCTCCATTCTCTGTGTGGTTATGTTGAGGGAAAAAATTGAGTATATGCCTTTGTGGACGTCTTAGGCCGCGTGTCAGCTAAATTTTTGTTGGAAATAAACTGTTAATGCGTACCCTTGCTGTAAGAATATTCATTCTCGTTGCGGATATTTTTCGCAAAAATAACGCTGTCCTCCCCGCGCCAAATGAACTGTTCTGGTCCTATCTGCTGCTCCTCATATCGGTCCTCCGTCCACCCGAATGGGAGCGTCCGTCCCAACACGCGGGCACCGCTTCCGACTGCAATAGTATTGTTATCCGTGAAGTCTGGAACTTGGTACTCCCAGCCTTCACCGGCACCAAGGGACCTGCTGCTCGTATACCAT